ACTCACACCAAGGCGGGGAGCAGGCAGCTGAGGAAAATACCACTCGCCAGCATAACATTACCACTGCCTGCGCACAAGTATGTGGAGACGATACAGCAATGGCGGGCAAATCATGCGCAAAGATTGTTCCTGTGGTTGTCAGTCACAAACGTGATAAAACAGTGACTGTCCGAACATATGCGATAATTGATGACCAAAGTAATAAGTCACTAGTTTCGGAGAAGCTTCTTGACCTATTTGACATCCAATATCAAGAAACAAATTATTCGCTCACATCCTGTAATGGAGTAATGCAGACAAACAGCAGATATGCTAGTGGATTCGTTGTTAGTAATCTGGATGGCACAGACCAATTAGACCTGCCACCAATGACTAAGTGTAATCAGCTTCCAGATGCAAGAGAAGAAATTCCGACACCAGCAGTGGCCATGCAACACCCTCATTTAAATGGTATAGCGCACCTTATCCCAGAGCAGGATGAACGCTGCTCCATCACACTGCTAATAGGAAGGGATCTCATCGAAGCACATCATGTTCTAGACCAGAGGATTGGACCGACGGGTGCACCGTACGCACAAAGGCTGCGATTGGGTTGGGTAACCTGCCTTGGAGGGTCCCACATGCCCAATTCCATTGGAACATACAGAACGAGTATCATTATACAAAACAATGGAAAGCCTTCAACATTGGACCCAACCAGATAAAAGTGGAAGAGCTATTTGACAAGGGTGAGGATTCCATGAGTCTATCTAGGGAAGAGAAGCAGTTTGTCAATATCATGGAGGCTGAAGGAAAGCTAAGTTCAAATAATATGTGGACAGCTCCAGCTCCATTACCGTTCAGATCACCTAGACCAAGGCTACCAAATAACCGAGAACAGGCATGGAAAAGGGCAGTAATACTGCATAAAAGTCTTGTCAAAGATTGCGTCAAAAGGCAACACTTTATGAAAGAAGTTTTGGACAACGGACATGCGGAAAGGGCCCCACCACTCAACAAGGATGAAGAATGCTGGTACCTACCGTTATTCGGTGTTTATCATCCCAAGAAAAGGGATAAAATACGAGGCGTATTTGATTCCTCTGCCACCTTTCAGGGAGTGTCATTGAACAAGGTAGAGGTAGTAATGCGTTTCAGAAGGGAAGATGTCGCTGTTTGTGGGGACATAGAGAGTATGCTTTATTGTTTTGGAGTGGCTGAGGAGCACAGGAACTTTTTAAGATTTTTCTGGCATGAAGAAAATGACATTAACAAACCGTTAGTAGAGTATAGGATGTGTAAGCATGTATTTGGAAACAAACCCTCTCCAGCAGTTGCTAACTATGGCCTACGAGACATCATCAAAAATGCTGATCATGATGTGGTAGAATTTGTCAATAACAATTTCTATGTAGATGATGGGTTAACATCTTGTGAGGATCATGAAACTGCAATATCATTGGTGAAAAGAACGCAGGCTGTTTTAATGGATGGTGGCAAAATACGCCTACACAGCATAAATCCGTAGAAAAATATAAGCAAGCTGAAATCTTCATTATCAAAGAACTGCAACAACAGGTGTATGATAAAGAGATGAGTTGTTTAAAAGAGAGGAAGTCTATTCAGAATAACAGCTCGGTGATTGCACTGTCACCAATTTTGAACAATGACGGTTTGATGAGCGTTGGAGGAAGATTAGGAAAGTCCAACCTCCCTCTTATTGAAAAACACCCGGTATTGATACCAGGGAAAAGTCATGTTGCAAAGCTAATTGTTCTCCATTACTACGCCAAAGTATGTCACCAAGGTAGACACTTCACCGAAGATGCCATAAGAGACGCCGGTTACTGGGTAACAGGCTGCAAAAGGCTAGTGTCGTCTGTCATACACAAATGTGTCATTTGTCGTAAACTAAGAGGCAAGCTGAGTTTTCAGCGTATGGCAAACCTTCCAGAAGAACGACTAACACCAGGACCTCCATTTAGCCAAGTTGGTGTAGACTGCTTCGGTCCCTGGCAAGTTTCCGCTAGGAGAACTAGAGGTAGTGTTGCACAAAGCAAGCGCTGGGGAGTGTTATTCACTTGCCTGTCTTCAAGGGCTATCCACATTGAAGTCGTAGAAGAACTCAGCACATCATCCTTCATAAACGGACTCCGCCAATTCATTGCTATTAGAGGCAAAGTTAAGGTGTTATGGTCAGATCAAGGAACTAATATCGTTGGGCCGATCAACGATGAACACCTGCAGACATACTTACTGAAGAATGGTGCAGAATGGAAACTCAATCCTCCACATGCCCCTCCCATATGAGAGGCATGTGGATGTGGAGAACGAATGATAGGCGTGACCAGGAGAATCCTAGACTCTCTCCTTTTGGTTTGTAAGCACAGAACGTTAACACATGAAATACCAACAACGTTCATGGCTGAAGTTATGGCCATAGTAAATTCACGCCCACTGGTACCATTATCATCGGACCTGTAGTGTACTCAAAGTTGTATATCGCCCTCTATTATTGTAAGAGCAGAGAAAGTTCGAGTTGGTTGTGATGGTTGTTGAATATGGTGGCTAATAAAGACAACCGGTTTGGATTACTTAGATGTGGTTTTGTTGTTCATTTGTCTCAGTGAGTGAATGAGAGACATAACATTGGCGACGAGGATAAACCTGAATATATATAGATAAACGCCGGTGTATAGAACAGAAGAAATATGGCTGTTTCTACGACGTTTAGTGAAGATTTGCCAAGGTTAGATTTAGATGCGGAGCCCACCACTCTGCCTACGCAGTGGCGTGAGTTTAAAACGGAGATAGGCTATTTGATAGCTGCCAAGGGCATTGTCAATAACGCACAAAAAGAAGCTGTACTGTTGCATGCCGGTGGAGTAAGACTCCAACAGATATATTTATCTTTGCCTGACGAAGGGGAAGTTGAGGGCCAGCAGCAATTGAACGCATACGATAAGGCTATTAGGAAACTGGATAAATATTTCACCCCCAAAACTAACGAACCATATGAACGTCACAAGTTTAGGAGAATGGTGCAAGAGACTGGCGAAACCGTAGCCCCTTTTGTCGCCAAGCTAAATAGGCAGGCTACCTATTGTAATTTTGGTGCAGATACCAGCACCCATGTGAGGGACCAGTTGATTCAGGGCTGTACTGCTCCACGGCTTAAAAAGTTATTACTGGAAAAAGGGAATGAACTTACCCTTCAGAAAGCCATGGGTATAGCAAGTTCGTACAAACTAGTGATGCTTCAGTCAGCTGAGATGACACAGAGCTTAAATGTGAATAGATTGATGGTGAAGCCTACTGGTAATCATCAGGAACCTCCAAGAAGTACATGCTGGAAATGTGGAAGACAGGGACACTTTGCAAAAGATAAAGTTTGCCCAGCAAGAGGAGCGAAGTGTAGAACATGTGGTGAAGTTGGACATTTTTCAGTTGTTTGTAAGAACAGAGGGAAAAGGGGGAAACGGGTGACTTATCAACATAAAGGCAAACAGCCAGGGAGAAAGAAATGTGATAAGGTATTTAATGTTGATGATATTGATATGTCTGATAATCATAAAATATTTACAATTGCAGTAAATTTTACATCTGATGATGAGCCAGTATATAAGGCAAATATTGGTGGCCATTTAGTGGATGTTTTAATAGATTCTGGGTCCCCGTGTAACATAATTGATAAGCAATTATGGGAACAACTAAAGTGAAAGGGGTTAGACTGCAAAAGTGAAGTAGTCAATAAGAGTTTGAAACCATATGG